CAGCCAAGTGTTACAACACAGCTCTGGCTCGGGATGCTGAGCCCCCCTGGAGCCTGGGCTGGAACATCTGCTCCATCTCCTGATGGAAGGTCATCCTGAGCAGCCAGGCAGAGGAACCAGGTCCTGACTGCTGCACAGCTGTGTCTGGTGCTGGGAGTCTGCGTGCCTGAGGTGCTCCTGGGGAAACACATCGGCTTGTGAGGTCGTGCAGGCAGTGATCCAGGCTCCTCCATTCCCTCCTGGCTCCTGGACGGCTGGAATGCCTCCCAGCAGAGCACTGGGCTTCCCCAGCCCTCCCAGCAGGGTCCTGGTGAGGTGTTCCTGGCATGGGGGGTGAGGGGATGGAGGTGGTGTGCTCAGGGCAGCAATCCCTCCCCACATTTTTGGCTCTGTAGCTGGGAAGTGCCCAGGACTTGCTGCTCTGCCCAGGTTACCTGGGAAACCCTTTGGATTAACCAGCATTTTCAGAAACACATCAGGTTTCTTGCACAGCCCTCTCTTCCATCTCCTGAAATCCACATCACACTGCTCCAACACCTGTCTGGGACCTCACCTGCAGCAGGGGACAGTGACAGTGACAGGCTGTCCTGTGACCTGACCTGGGCCCCTGGAGATGGGGAGGGAATTGGTGCTCTGTGCCTGAGGGTCACCACTGCCACAGCAGTGGGAAGGCATTAGTCTTTTAATTAGCATTAATAGGGCAACTATTACCTTAATTAAAAGACAGATAGTGACATTGAAGTTGTGTTGAGGTTTAAGTGCTGCAGGAGCCTGACTGAACTGTATGTTTGTTAATCCTCAGAGAGGGAGTTCTGTTTCACTGAGTGATGTTTATTTAACATACAATAAGTGTCCTAATGAATCTCTATTAAAGGCATATGTGGAAACTTTAATTTGAAGCATTACAGAAGAGAGTGAGATCTTCAATTCATAAAACCCTTTTTAAACACTGTGAGCTCCAAAATCTGGCCAGTGCCAAAGCAAACTCTCCTGTAAACTCTGTGCCAGATGTCTCATGTGGGGTATGCTTAAGGTCCAAAGAAAATAAGGTCTGAAGGGAACAGTTTGGCCACTGACTGCCTAATCCAGCCTATATAAAGGAGTTTCGTTTCCATTCAGGAAATAACCTCTCCTGGATGGATCCTGTTCAAAATGTGTCTGCTGAACAATTCTTCTCAGCAACACCTACGCCTGTGAGCAGAAACAGATCTCGTGGGAAGCCTTGGGAAGAATCTGGAACCTCCTGAAGTTTGAGAAAGAAGAGATAATAAACAGGTTAGAGGCATCTCGGTGTTTGGTGTGGCACTGACCACTGCCTGGCCTGATGCTGAATACAGAGAATATTCTGGTATGTTGTGGGTGTGATGTGAGATGAAACTTCAGCCAACCTCAGTCCCTTGTGTGAAACTTGCTACTGTGCCTTGTTCTGCTCTGGGCAGGGCACTCCAGGATATTTGGGTTAAAACAAACTCCAAATTTAACATTTAATCCTAAACATAACCATAACTCTATCCCTAAAGCTAATCCTAACCCTAAACATTGTTAACCCTAGCATGAACACTAACCCTAACTAAAACCAAACTCTAACCCCGAATGTAACCTAATCATAAACACTAAGCTTAACAAAAAAAAACAAGATTACCAACCCTAACAACACGAGGAAGCCCAAATGGCCACAAAACCTGACCCTACAGCTACCAAAAATCCCAAAAATAAACCCTACACTAAGCAGCACTATCAGCCACCAGCCATCACCCTACCATTATCCTTACAGCCAAAACCAAAATCTAAACATCAATCCAAACCATAAAAACTAAACCCACACCTAACCCTTACATAACCCTACCTCAAACCCTAACCCTAAATCCTAACCCTAAACTGAACCCTAACACCCTCACCATAACTCTGACCCTTACCTTACCCTAACCATAACCTCCTAATCCCAAACTGAGGTGCCCCCTGCCCAGGGAGGCAGAGATTTTATTTCAGATGAGCATTGTTAAAGTGAGAGGCTTTAAAAAGCCATGGAAGAGGGAATTCCATCCCTCTGCCTCAGGGGATGGGCCCTGAGAGCCCAGGACCCTCATGGGGTGGCAGCCCAGGGAGTTCTGGTTGGGTTTGTGCCCCTGGGGTTTCGCCTTTGCTGTGTTCCTATCAATCCCCAACCCTAAACTCCACCCTGGTTCTGTCCCACAAAACCCATCACCCTGCCTCTGTTCAGGCTCTCTGTCTCTGGATCTGAGTTGGTTCCTGCGTTGAATAAATGGTTTCCTGAGCAGAATCCCATCTCATTGGGTCCCATCTTGGTCACTGGTAGCTCCCTGGACATGATCCTGCAGCCCTGGAACGCAACACCAAACCTTAACCCTTGCCTTGCCTTGGCTGCCCCTGCTTTGACCTGGCCTGGCTTGCATTGCCTTACAGACACATCTGTGTCCCTCCCTTGCTCTTCCCACCACTCCACTGCCTTGCTTTGCTGTGCCTACTCATCCCCCACCTTGACTTTCCCACTTTATTTTCCCTGCCCTGTTCCCTGGCCCATCACTGGACTGACCTTCCTCTGCCTCAGCCTTGCCTACAATTCCTGGGCATTCTCTTGTCCTGCCTTGCTCTGCTTTCCCCTCACAGCTCTTGCCTTCCCTTGACTTGCCTGGAGCTGTCTACACTTCGATTGCCTTGCCTTGCCCCCATGGAAGGCAACACAAGGCAGGGGAGGTGTGGGCAAGGAAAGATAAAGCAATGGTGGCCTCGACAGAGCTGGGCAAGGCAAGCCCAAGTGGCTCAGAGTGCCTTTGCTTGGGAAGACAAGGTTGTGGTCCCAGTGTTGGTGGAACACATTGTAAGACACCATGAGGAGCTCAAGTCCAAGGGGACATTTTGTCCTACATGTCCTGTAGCAATTCTTGGATGCAGCTCTGGGTATTCAGTACATTCAGTACTGGAGGTGGTGAGTTCCTGCAGGAGGGTGGCAATGCTCTGCCATGGGGAGGAAAACACAGCCCCAGGGTCTGAAGTGCAGATTAGGAGATGCCTAGAGGAGGTCGAGGGCAGCAGCAACTTTCTGTCCTGGCATATTTGGTGCAGGAGCATTCCCTCAGCTTGTGCAGTTATGGGGTTGGTATCCATATTTTGCAGGGGGTGGCCTGAAAGGTTCAGTTTGGCAAATCACTCCCACCTTTCAGAGGTGTTGATCTGAAATTTCTGGCAGAACATTTATTTTCAGCAAGGTAAGCAGCTCAGTCTCGGTGTGCAGGTGGCACAGTGCCCAGGACAGGTAACAGCCAGCAACACCTGGCACCTTTATATGGGATCATTCCCCAGATGATTGCTGGTTTGGAGGAGGGCATCCCATTTCTTTTGAGATGGGGTCATAGTTCCTCTCTTTGGCAAAGAAACCAGTCTTGGATCCACACGTTGGATGGTCTTGGTGAATTTAATTGCTTTTTCTAGTGTACAGCTCTGTCTGTTAGAGCTGCTGAACTGCTACAGGGGGAATGCAAAAGCCAAGCTGCTGAGAGTTTTGTCCTGGTACCTTTAGCATGTGAGCAGTCCCTGGTGCTGTTCAGTTTGGCTCCTGACTCTGAGGCAGAAGGATTATGATGGTGCCTAGAGCTGAGAGGGAAAGTGCAGATACCAGGCTTTAGGTGTGGTGCAAATAAGATTCTGTACTTGGAAGGGGAAGGCCAGTGAAATCTTTATGCCCTGACAGAATTTATCTGAGAGCAGCGATGTTTTCAACTCGGATCTGCCCTTTGAAGTTCAGAGATAGGCAAGGACCATTGGCTTCTCCTGCAAGTGCACAGCGCCATTGTGTGGTTGTTTTCTGTGTCAGGTGAACGCCAAGAGCTTTTCTATCCTGGCCCTGTCAGGGAGGGAACAGTGAGTGCAAAGTCGAGGTTCCCTTGTGGATCCTGGCTGTGGTGCTGCTCTTTCCTGGGAAGAAAGACAAATCTTCTCATCATTGACCGAGCAATTTATAGGCTGCAAAAGAAAAGTGAATTCCAGCACTGCCTCTTCCTTCCAGAACTTTTTCTGTGCTGAATGTTTTCAGCTGCTGAACTTCTTGGTTTTGGAACTGGACCCTGTGAGACAGAAAGTGCCTGAGGGTCCATTGAGCCGAGCACACAGAGCTGTGTGTGCTGCATGTCAAAAAGCTGCAAGGGGAAAGTGAAGGCCAGCACTTACTTTTTGTTTTAGGCTCTCTGGTGTGGGAGCAGTTGTTGGACATATTAAATTTTGGGCTCTGCAAGAGTGGAAGAATGTGATGGCACCTGCAGTCGAGCAGGGAAGTGCCAAACTCCAGAAGGTGTGTTGCTTTGTCCAGCATGCAGGTTAAATGTGGAGACAGCAACAGCTTGCTGAGCTGGAACCTTTTGTGACCAAAATTGACATTTGATACAGTTAGTTTGGTTTCAGCAGGTCTGCAAGATTGGCAGAATGTGATAGGACATTGAGTTAGAAAGGGAAGCTCATAGCCTTGGTGTGCATGATGCTGTTGCTATCCTTCAAAGTCAGTGTGAAACCCTCAATGTGAAATGTTTTCTCCTCTTTTGTTTCCACATTAAAATGATGGAGCTGCATTCAGTGAGAGAGCACAAATGTCGATGTGCACTCAGCACCTGGCCTAAGCACCACCACCAAGTTATCTGCCAACCTGCTGGTGCCCTCTGCCCCAGCTTCCAGACCATTAGTTATGGAAAATGTTAAACAGGGTAGGTGCCAGTGCTGGTTCCTGGGAGACACTGCTTGTTCCTGGCACCACACAAGACTGGGTGCTGCTGAGCAGCAACCCTGGGGCTCAGCCATCCAGTCTGTTTCAGTCCTGGTCACTGCTGGCTCATGCAGCCCACGTTCCTTGGAGTGAATTGTTAACAAACCCAAAATTGCCAGGTGGGCACATGCAAGCTCACAGTTTTCAAAATCCCATCACACCAACATCCCTCACTGCCTGTTTCCACCAACTGCCCCAAAACATAAAGAGAAGGAAACACCCCGTAAAATATTCATGAAAGGCCAGGAAATGGTTTTAATTATGGCTTTGGCTCTTCTGCTTGTAGGTTCCAAATGAGTGTTTCCTCCTTTTCCTTTTTGACTGGTGGAAGTCCCTGAGCTTCACAAACCGTCTGCAGAGATGGCAGCCCTACCGTGAGGGTCTGCTCTGCTGTTTCTCTCTTGGCAAGGGTTCCCAAGCAGCCCTGTGTGCTGGAGCACGCTGGAAGCTCCTCCTGGAGGCCCCTGGAGTTGTGTCATCCCTGTGAGCGTTGTCATGACCTGCAGGACGCGTTCTCTTCCTCTTCTGTGCTGAGTTGTTGTAGTCGGTGGTGTTCATGATCCAGCTGCGGCGTTCATTGTCCCACAGCGGGGATCTGCTCCTGTCCCTCTCCCTGGAACTCCTCCTCTGGCTGTTTGTCACCCTCATCCTGCCAGGCCGAGCCTGTGGCCCTGCAGAACCTGCCTGGCTGCTGGCCTGCCCCTGACTGAGGAAGGAATGGGACGATGGACAAGGCGCCGTGTCTTTCATGTGTGAATTGGAGCACCTGGAGAAAAAAAGAGGGATCTCTGTTTAGGGCATTTCTTGCGGATTTATCTGGGATTCAGTCATTTTTTGGAGTGGTTTCTATGACAGAGAACAAGGTCACCAATGGGAAATTCAGACACCTGGGGTCTTCTTACCAGGCCTGTCCCTGTCACAGGAAGCCTTTGTCTTTACAGCCCCTACAGCCTCCACTTCACAGAATCACAGAATGGGTTGGGTTGGAAGGGACATTAAAGCTCATCTCATTCCAAGCCCCCTGCCATGGGCAGGAACACCTTCCATGATCCCAGGCTGCCCCAAGCCCTGCCCAGCCTGGCCTTGGGCACTGCCAGGGATCCAGGGGCAGCCACAGCTGCTCTGGGCACCCTGTGCCAGGGCCTGCCCACCCTCACAGGGAAGAATTCCTTCCTTGTATCTAAACTAAATCTTCCCTCTTTCACTTTGAAATTGTTACCCCTTGTCCTGTCACCACACTCCCTGATAAAGAGCCCCTCTCCATCTTTCCTGCAGGCCCCTTTAAGTCCTCTGCATTAGCCAGCTTCAAAGAGCAGACAAGGAGCAGCTTACACAGGACACCAGCTAAAGCCCAGCAAGGGATGAGAAGAACTGGTGTGGGATAGTTCAGAACTGAAAACACTGAAGGATGCAGGGAAGAATTGCCTCCTATGGCAGAAACACTCAGGAGGAGAAGACAAACAGCAAAGCCAGAAAAAGGAAACAAACTCAGAACACATCACCCTGGTATTACCTGGCATAGAACAGCAAATAGGCTTGCTGCCCCAGAACTGCCTGGATGCCACAGCTATCCACAGACACATCATTCATCTTGTACCACTGCTCATTGCTCGCCTGCAAAGGAAGGCATCCATCTCTGAGGGGAAGGGAAAGCTGGAGCTCTCTTGGCTGCCAGTAGCACTGCCAGGATAGTCTGAGTTCCCAGCACACGCTTTTCCCTGTCAGGAGGGAAGTGGCTCTTCACCTTTGTGTAGCAGAAAAAGTGTCCACCAAGGCAGGTGTGACCAGAGTGCACCACAACAGCATACAAGGAGTAGAGGACGGGCTCTCCAGCTGGGTCAGACATGTATGGCCGGAGATCCAAATACTCAGGATACTCCACAACCTGTGGAGAAACCAAGATGGCTCAGAAATGTTCCTGAGCCAGCACATGAAATAGCCTTCAACATATCTGGGTGGGAGGAAATGTTCTCAGCTGGTCTTCCCATGGGAAGTCTCCTCTCCCCAGGAGGGAACATGAAAAACATGAGCAGCTTGTGACAGAGCCTTGGGGAATCTGCTGCTCCAAAGAGGGAGCTGCACTCTGGTTTCATACACACCTGGCTGAGCTTCCTGCTGGTCTGATCATCAGCCCTTCCCAGACACACCGTGAGGATCCTGGGTTCGTGATGGACTGTGACCTTCTTGGAGGCAGCAACCTTCTTCTTACACCTTGAAGCCAAGCACAGAGTGCCAAGTGCTGAAATGAAGCCCACCTTACCTCGAGAGTGCCAGACAACCTTGCCTTTCTCACACCCTGGCACCAAATTTAAGGCTATTCCAGCATGTGAGGCCAAAATTAAAAAGTCTTCATCCCATTATTGTGCATTAAACCTGAGAAACTGATTCTGCTTGATTTCACACAGCTCCTCATGCAGCATCTGGTGATAATAGATGGTAAGAAATCATCTTACTTGCTACATCTGAAGCACTTTCTCCCATTCATCTCCTTGGGTGCCACAAAATCCTCCAGAGCTGTGTTGAGGGATGAGGCTCCCTGGAGAAGTGGGAAAGGAGATGCTGAGCTGTGGGGAATCCCAAACATTTCCTGGGAGCTGACAGGAAGACCCAGGCTGAGGAGACCCACCAGGACCCCACAGGGAGTGTTTGCAAGGAGACAGAAGGAGGGTGTGATACTGAACATTTCCCCGTGTCCCAGGGGTTCCTGGGGCCATCTAGAGCTGCCTCTCAGTGCCACTGCTCAGTTCAGCTACTGATGGTGTGCAGGGGCATCAGGAGTGAAAACTGATCCAACCCTGGGGTCTGGATGGGTGTTGAGGGAGGAAAATACATAGGGGACAATGCTGCTTAAACCCAGCACTGAAGTGCTGCCAGCAGTGGCACAGCCTTTGCAGAAGGACACTGTCCCCTCCACTTCACACTCACTTCACACACGAGATCCCTTGTGCTTGCAAAAGTTTTCAAGACAAATGTTTTGGTTCTGGAAAGCAACAGGGGCCTTGGGACCTCTTGAAGCACAATTCCAAACCTCTTACCTTGATTTTCAGAAGGATATCCAGGAAGATTTTGTAGAAATCAAAAACTGTGTTGCAGCTCAGGCATGTGACTGGAAGGAAAATCAGAATGCTGAGGGAAGTTAATTGATGGTGTCAGTTTATGCTCCTGGGTCCTCCTTGGCCAGTCATCACAAGACCAGCTGCATGTCACAGGCACATAAGGGCACAGAAAATGCCAAGAAGGGCAGCAGTTCTGGAAGCATACCTCTGGATCTCAGCAAGCCCCCAAATATTTGATGGATGATGGTAGTTTCATCAGAAGGGATGTCTGATCTGGAAATAAATGGCAAGGCAGAGTTACATCCTCCAAGAGTTCAGCACTGAAAGCCCTGGGTGTGGGTTTTCCTTGGTGGGAGCACTTCAAGGAGCCCAGCAGATTCAGGAAAATTGAAAAGGGAATTTTCTTGTGCTTACTCGCTGCATTCACCCAGACAAGCTGTCTGCATGGCACTGACAGCACAGCGTAAGAACTCGTAGGCATCTCCCGGGATGTCAGGCTTAAATTCTCCTATGACTAAGAAAAGAGTTAGTAGTTCTCCCCTCAAAGAAGGAAAGAAAACCTGTCAAAGCACCTGAAATTGCTTACATTTGAGGTCCCTGATGATAGCCCTGGGGCGGATGGCAGTGGCTGAGGAATACAGGGCCTTCCGAATGTGAGCTTCCATGACACACATCATGCAGAAACCTTGCTGGCAACCTGAGGAGGGAGGGAAGCTCCTCAGCTTAGCAAAACAACCCCCAGGTGGAAAACCTAATGGAGGTCTTGAAGTTGTAAAGCCTCTCTACTCCTCTTCTCCCAAATGCCCTGACAACCCTGGGACATTTTAATGCATAGAAAATGTTCTTCATGGAGAGACCAAACTGGCACAAGTTTTCTGTGTCATAAGCCAAGAGGGTTCAACTCAAAGGGACAGAGACCCAGGGCTAGGAAAAGGTGCTTTTCTGAAGATGAATGCACCTTGATAGGACAAGTGGCTTTTAATTTGAGTGTTTGAGGAGCATAAGCTCCTGAGGCTAACAAAGAAGGGCTGCTGTTCTCCTAAATCCAGCTGCAGAAATCTTTGGGATGTGCCCAAGAGATTTAAAAGGAGATATTTCTGAAAGTACTCACAGACCCGGCTGTGCTGACGAGACAGCAGGTAATTAGCCAGGGGGGCAGTGTATGTCAGGCATTGCAGGATGACGTTGAGGTAGCAAGTGCTACCAAGGTTGTAAAGTCCTGCTCCAGGTCTCCGTTTCTGCTGCCAGTCCATGCAAATCTTCTCTGAGGTAAAAAGGGTCTTTTGTGATGGAGTCATTCCCTCGCCTTGACTGCAGGCAAACAACATTTGAAAAGAGATGAGATAATGGGTGGGGGAAACAGTGAGCTGGGGTCAGGGGCAGCAGGGGAAAGTGAGGGACAGAGGGGGACAGAGGGGGACAATGGGGGATAGGTGCATTTTCCCCTGGGTAATGGCCAGGCAGGGCCCAGAGAGTGGTGGTGAATGGGGCTGCATTCAGTTGGCATCTGGTCACTAGGAGTGTCCCCCAGGGATCAGCGCTGGGCCCAGCTCCTGTCTAATACCTTTACTGATGATTTGGAAGAGTTAATCAAGTGTACCCTCAGCAAATTCACAGACCACACCAAATCTGGAGGGTTGGAAGGCTCTGCAGAGGGCTCTGGACAGGCTGGATCAGTGGAACGAGACCAACAGTACGAGGTTCAACAAGACCAAGTGCCAGGTCCTACCCTTCAGTCACAATAACCCCACCCAGTGCTCCAGGCTGGGCAGAGTGGCTGGAGAGCGGCCCAGGCAAGAAGGACCTGGGGTTGCTGGTCAGCAGTGTGTCAGTGAATGTGAGCTGTCAGTGTGCCCAGGTTGCCAAGAAGGCCAAGAGCATCCTGGCTTGTATCAGGAATGGTGTGGCCAGCAGGACTAAGGAAGTGATTGTCCCTCTGTGCTTTGGTGAGGCCGTGCCTCCAGTGCTGTGTCCAGTCCAAAAAATTGTCCAATGTCCAAAAGTCACTGATGTGCTGGAGCATGCCCTGAGAAGGGCAATGAAGCTGGGGAAGGGTCTAGAAGGAGAATCCTATGAGGAGCAGCTAAGGGAACTGGGATATTTCATCCTGGAGAAAAGGAGGCTCAGGGGTGACTTTAACCCTTTCTATGACTACCTGAAAGGAGGCTGCAGCCAGGTGGGGTTGGCCTCTTTTCCCAGGCAACAACCAATAGGACAAGAGGATATAGAGTCTGGAGCTCTGCCAGGGGAGGTTCAGCTTAGACAGCAGGAGGAATTTCTCCACAGAAAGAGTGATTAGATATCAGCATGGGCTGCCCAGTGAGGTGATGGAGTCACCATCCCTGAGGTATTCAAGAGAAGACTGGACATGGTGCTTTAGTGCCATGGTCTGGTTTGACATGGTGGTGTTTGGTCGAAGGTTGGACTCGATGAGCTTAGAGGTCTTTTCCAACCTAATTGACTCTGTGGTTCTGTATGTGAATATTTAAATGCTGAGTTCACTCTATGACACCAAGGACAACAGCTCTAACCCTCAAACCAGAAACATCAGGGGAAGCCTGTTGATATCTACTGAGAGGGAAACACTTCTGGAAAACTGTTCCCCTGCTAATCTGCCTCAAGTCCAACAAATCCACACTGATTCCTGGGCCTCAGGCTGCCTTCCTTCCCATCTAGAGCCTCAGATTTTCAGATCTTCACTTTTCCTGATTGTAAGGTGATGAAAATAAGCAACACCTGGGTCTGGCTGCTCTCAGGGAATGCCCCAGAATTCACTCCAGGCTGTCAGCACATCGACACTTAGGGATGCAGCAGTGGCCATGTCCGTGGTCCGTGGGCATTCACAAAATCCAAACCAGCTGGTGAAAATGTTACTCAAAGAAGTCATTCCCTGTTGTGGCCATTGTTCCTCTCAGGTACAGAGTGGAAAGCTTTGGATGACAAAGGATATCAGGACCTCCTCCAGAAAGATCACCTGTTGGGAAAGGAAATATTTGTAGCTCAATAAAATTATTTCAAAAACCCCAAATGCCCCAAAAAGCACCTTCAGCTGTCAGAAGTGTTTTGTTGGTGCTTGTGGCTGCTCCCAAAGACAAAGAATACTTGGGCAGGCATGCAAGTAGCAGGGAAAAGAGCCAAGTTATCCCAAGGGCCAGCTCAGTCCAAGAGAGCTTTTGCTGGGCCACTCCTGAGGACACCAAGCATTGGACAGGTGAGCTCACAATCACCAGCCACCGGTTCCACATCTCTGCCACTTCTGTGACACAGGGCAGGACACACTGTTGGCCCTGTGGCCACCACGTCCTGGCACCTCTCGCAGCTGGAAGTCACTGGGCCACCCAGGTGCTGATGCTGAAGGGCTGTTCATGGGCCAGCAGAGCTCCTGCAGCTTCCAGGATCTGCAGCAGGCAGAGCAGCCAAAGCCTGCTCAGGCCTGGGATTGAGCCAGCTCTGGCTGGCATACTTGGGGTGCTGATGGTTCCTGTTCTTCCCAGGTATTGGACTGTGCCCATTGGGCTCTTTGGGTCATTTTCAAGGAATTTTCTCAGTGAGCTTCAGGCTGACCCTGAACTGGCTCTAGCAAGGAGACACTTCAGTGATGGCACAGAGCAGACTTGAGCTGCCTACCAGACAGCTCTTTCACCCTGAAGCTCCCAAAAGTGCTCATGGATGGCTTTTTAGCACTAGGATGCTTTGGAATCCACCTCTCAGGAGAACATCTTAGGCTCCAAACCTTCCTTTTAGGGTGCAAGCTCCTCACTGAGAGCTCAAAGCCTTGTGTTCCTCATGTCTGAAGCTCCTTTAGAATGTGCAAAAACTGATTTCTAGAGTATAAAGTCTCATTTTGAAGGCCAAAAGACTCATTTGTAAGGTCCAAGTCTGTCTTTTAGTACCCATAGCCTTTTTTAGGACCAGCAATTCCATTTTTAAGATCCAAAGCCTCCCTGTTTGAATCCAAGCCATCCATGCTTGTGCACACTCGTTTTTATAACCAATGTTCTTTTTCAAAGTCTTGTGCACAGAGGCAGAGAAGAATTAAAAGACATTTTTCTGTGTCCAACCGAAACCACCAGGGTCAGTCTGGCTGCTCTCAGGAAACGCCTTCTACCCACTGTGCTCAGTTCTGGTTCCTCTCTGCCCCAAGAAATAAATCCTTGGTCCTGGCTGGGAGGGCTTTGGGCACTGGAATGGAAGCTTCAAGCAGTAAAAGATGGCTTTGGGCCATCCCCAAAGGAGGACTTGGGTCTTAAACCAAGCATTGAGCTCTAAAAATGGACCTTTGGAAGGGAAAAGGAGGGTTTGAACCCTGAAGTTAAGTTTTGGGCCCTCAAAAGATGTTTTGGTAACAAAAATAGAGACTTAAAAGAAGGTGTTGAGCCAAATTGCAGACTGAATCATAACGAGGAGGGTTTGGTCCCTCATAGATGGGCTTTGGGAGCTAAAAAAGGAGTTTGGGCCCAAACCTGAGACTTTGGACTCTACAAATGAAATTTTGGACCTTCCAAATAAGACTTGGGGATTTCAAAATTAAACTCTGGGCAGTTCTGATGAGCCTTGAGACCTTACAAGCAGCGCTTGCAGCTTTGGAATGAGGGTTTGTGCCAACAAAGACCACAGAAATTACACTGTGGACCTCAAAAAAGGTGAGATACTACAAATGACCCTTTGGACCCTGGAAAAAAGTGAAATTTCTGCTTCCTCTCCAGCCCCAAGGAACAAAGGTGAAGGTTGTCACTGTACTGTCACAGGCCAGCAACAGCCTTCTGTCCTGGCACCTTTTGTGTGGGAGCAATCCCTGGACATACTCAGTTTGGAAGAAGAGTGGGGCCTTTTGAGGTGTTTTCCTGCTTCCTGAGGAGGGCAAGAAGTGCCCTGGGCCTGGGCCAGGGGCACTGCCCCCTTCTCTGGGGGATTTTCCTCCAGCTGAGGAGGATGCAGGTGTTGTCCCACCTTGGCAGATGTCGGCTGTAGCCACCACCGTGCTCCAGGTGGCTGTTGGCTCTAGAAAGCAAAGGAAGACCAGGCTGCACTTTGTGTCTGCCAGCTCTCAACTCTCCAACCCCCCTGGCCTGTGGGGCATTGGCAGGTGTGTCCTTGCTGTCCCCAGCCCTGGTGGACACAAGAAAAGGCTGCAGTGCTGAGTCTCGGTGCCTTCATGCTGCACTGGTGGATCCTGGCAGCTGTGGGTGCTCTGTATCTCCTGGGGTGATTCTGGGCATCATGAGATGGAATCTTTCCTGTTCCAGAAGTCTTGGATTGCCTCATGCTGCTGGGCTGACCCTCACAGCCTGTTCTGGGATCGTTTTTGTTGTAGCTGGGAGCGTGCATGGCCACAATCCAGAGTTTATTCTATATCACCTCCATCATTGCTGGGGCAGGGGTGAAGGGAATCTCTTCCAGGGACAGAGGGTTCCTTCTGGTTCAGAAAAAAGTTGGGGTAGTTGGTGTTGATTATTGTAACAGGCTTTCCATGCAAATCATTCTTTTCTCATAGCTTTTGCTATTAATATTGTTGCTGTTAGTTTTCTTTTCTCATTGCTGTTTCCAGTAAATTGTTCTTTATCAACCCATGATCTTTGCCTTTTGTGCCTCCAGCTGGAGGTAGAGGAGGAGGAGGGGAAGCAGCACGTGGCTTTGGCAGAAATACTAAATTGATGAATACTAAACCATGCCACAGCTGTGCTGCAGAACATTAAAACTGCAGCTGGGAGGTAGAAATGCATCAGCCTGCCCAAAAAGCTGTTGAAGTGGAGTCACAGAGCTGGACTGATGGGGCTGCCATGCTTCCCAGTGTAACATGGGACACCCACGTTTTAGGTTCTGCCTTGTTTTCATTTAGATGTTCTCTGTACTCTTCACAAATATTTGGAGCTCTGTAACCTATTGGATCAGTGGCTGGTTTCCCCAGTAATGTTCCTGGCCTTTCACTGGGCACAAAGACAAAACAAATTGCAGAGCTCCAAGCCCCAGGGGTGCCAGGTCCCTGTGCTGGCTTGGCTCTTCCAGGCCCCTGAGGTTGGGAACAGCTCTTGGAGATCCATTTCATGGGCAAAGCACAGCCAGTGCCAGGGGGAGACTCCAAAGAAAGAGCAGGACCTGGGGGAATGGCATCACCACTTGTCTTCCTAATTGGTGCTTTTTATCAATTATGCAAATTTCCTAAAACCTATCAATGTGTGCTCACCCCAGTGGGGGTGGGCTTTTGTGGACATCTTTCCATACCTGCCCCTGAAGGCCTTCAAATAAAGATCCACTTTTATATTACCTCCTTCCTGAAGTGATCTGGAGCTGCATTTCCAGGTTAGGAAAAGGCAGCATCCACACCAGGAAGGATGAGCACTCTCACCCTCACCATAGGGACCTACTCATGATGAAATAATGGTGAATGGAGAGATTTTGGTTCTCTAGGAGCCATCAATTTCAGGCAAGAAAAGGCAAGAGCCATCTCCATGGATCAGGGATGAGCCCTGCTTGAGCTCTGGTGCTAGCACAGAGCAGAGTCTGTTTGTGAGCTCAGCCTCTGATCCCAAGCCAGACCATGCTCCCCTGTCCCTCTCAGTGCCAGTGGCCGCTCTTCCATGTCCATTTCTGTGACAACACCATAAATATCTTCTGTGGGGCAGAGAGGGAGCAGTTCTGGAGGAGTCTGACACTTGGTTCACAAGGAAATGCCTCCCTGGGGCATCACCTCAGTGTGGCCACAATTCTGCAAAATTTGTGGTGTGTTTGACTAAAAAGAAAAGCTTCAAAAAGAGTCAGTGAAATCAGCAGCAGAGAATTTGTGCTGGGTTTATTGATCTCAGCAGTCCCAGCAGCTGGTGCTGAGTGTGAGCTGTGGAAGCAGAGGGTGGAAGGCCTGCAGTGCCAGCTGCCAGGCTGTCCATGCTGGGCGAGGACAAGGGGGGAATGACCTCTCCAGGAGCAGCTGGCAGTGGGATTGGGATGAGCAAAAGGGGTTTTAATTGTTCATTTTTCTTCCCCAACCTTTCTTCTCCTCCCCACGTCCCCACCCCACTTCTGGCCCCTGAGGCACCTACAGAGAGGAGAGCAAAGCTGAAGTGGGGCTGGCAGAGCTCTAAATTAAAGGTTCTGCCTTTATTTCACTCCAAAGTTTACAGCCATAGGCTTCCATAAAAAATCCCCATTCCCACCCCCACCATCCCAGGGAGGGACCCACTCCCTGCCCCAGGGAGCTGGGGAGGAAAGTCCAGGGAAAGCACTGAGCTGAAGCAGCCCCAGGCAGGCTGTGGAGGGAGATCTCTGTCCCTGGAGATGCTCAGGGGGCTGGGAAAGGTGAGATCTCCCATCCCCTGGAGCTGGGGAGATCTCCTTTGCTCCAGAGCAGATGCTCAGCAGAACCCAGTTGTGCTAGAGTGAAACAAGGTGGAAAAAGAGAGTTTTTCTCCATTTTTTTTCCCTTTTTCTTTTTTGTAATTTGTCAACAACCTTTGCATGAAAAAAGTAAAACTCCACAAATGTCTCCACAGTTCTTCAACATCATTCCCAAAACAGCAAAATAGAACAAAAGCAACAAGTAAAAACATCATTAATAAAAACATCAACACTGACCCCCTTTGCTTTTCTTCCCACTCCATTTTCCCCCACTGCCTTTTCCCTCCTTCCCTTCTTGCTCCCTTTTTCACCCCAATTTCCCTTTTGCTCCACCCATTCCCTTTCCTCATACTTTTTTTTTATTCTGCCTTTCCATTCCTGTCTTCAGAGCTGCAGATTATCCCAAAACTACCTGAGGTCATCTCATGTGTGTTGAGATGGCCCCAAATCCTCCAAATCAATGCCATCAAAGACTACAAATAAATCTGGGGACAAGAAGCAGGGCAGGATTTGTTCAAAACACCCCAGCAGGCTCAAAACTTATGAATATTTATTAGAATTAATTAATTAAACAGCTCTGTAATGCTTTGTATGTATGGATATGGATTTAATTAGCAAGCTGGTGGTAATTAGCAAGCTGCATTGAGATGGTTTCTCTGAGAATGTTTCCCTGTGGATCCCAGTGTGTTTCCCAAGTGCTCCAATGACCAGGTTTTACTTTAACAAGGTGTGAAGTGCCATGGAAGGCCAGTTGTGGCAATAAATCCAGGATTTTGGCATCATTCTCATATGATCCCTATGCTGAATCCCATTGTTTCCTCATCTCACAACCAAATACTCCAAAATATCCCACTTGGACAGGGCTTCAGGGTGGCAATCATCTTATGAATGCAGTTTGGCCATGGAAGTCAGTTGGAAGGGCTTCATTTGACTTTTATTTCATTTTTTCAAGTTATTTCATTCCCCCAGGTGTCTCTCAGCTCACAGGTTTTCAGCTTTGTGACACTCCTCATAGAATAACGTGAGGATTAAAGTGTTTCAGAAACATTAAGTCCTCTGCAGAGGCCCAGGACAATCCACATTTTTGTAAAAAAAGCAATTTCATCCAGCTCTTATGAGGCCAAATCATTAAAATGCCCATTTCTTCATCACTTTATCTCACATCATGAAGTTAAAACCATTTTTCCTCCACTTCCTACCTCAGAAAGATTTTAACTCTCCCAATAATTTAATCTTCAAACCCTTGTCACCCTGTGAAGTGTGTTTTTAGGGGTAAAAATTAATTAAAAGCTACCAAATTCTGAATGCTGGAGATGGAGGGAGGGTACAAAGGAAACTGCAAGATGAGGGACACTCAGTGTGGCTCCAGGGAATTGCTGTTTTTGACTGAAACCGATCCAAAATATTCTTTGGGTCAGAAAGGGGTGAGAAGGGGCCATTTGAGGCAGCATTTCATCACTCCCTGGGGTGTTATTGTCGCCTTTTGGTTTTGTTCTGCTTTGACAACAGGGGAAAACACATCAAATCTTTTATTCTTCAACTTCTGATTGACTTTGGAGCCGTTTGATTTGCTCCAGCTCTCAGCTGGGGCACAGAGCATCACTCTGCTCCTCTCCCATGGCAACAGAACGCGGTGGCCACAAGAGAACGTTGACCTCAGTCCTGGTTGCCACCAACAGAAGCTGGCCCTGGGACCTGCTGGTGCTGCCCTATGACACAAGCAGGTGGCTCTTGGAAATGACCACGTGCCAGCGAGGGAATTTTGTCCTCAGCCATGGCCAGGTGCCGCCCGTGCCACATCATTTTTTCCCTGAACCCCCCACATCAAAGTAAGCGCTTTTATTGAAGGAATATCAGATATTTATGTTTACAGGGAGAACTCTGAGCTCTGCAGGGGCTTCTCTAATGGTTATTTTCAGGCCTTGGTGTTCACTCCTGCGCCTTAATTAGTGAGAGCTGTGCTTGTTTGGAATCAGTGAAAATAAGATGGAATATTTTGGGTCTAATTTAAGAGTATTTCACTCTTGTGCTGCCCAGTGTGATTCCTGAGCCTCCATGGAGCACTCCCAAGGTCAGGGGCTGCCATCCCTCGTGGATGTGGTCACTGCCTTCAGTTCAGTCAAGTCCTATCACAGGGATCTGTAGCTGCAAAACATCTTAATGCACATATCCCCCCACCAGGGAATGGCAAGGGGGGAAATCCTCATAAATAATGGGTTTGGGGGTGATAGCTGAAGATATTTTTATCTTTATTGTTGTAATCAATGTTTGCTTTCTTGTTTTCCTTGATTTTTATTTGTAGTTTCATAGTGCTGCACCCCCAAATCCAGCTCAGGTCTGAGGAAAAGAAGGAAAACCCCAAAAACACACTTTCCCATAAGGGAAACCCCCTCATCAAAAGGGGTTTAGGAGGAGGGTTCCAGGTTATTGTCAGAAAATCCTCAAATCCTTCCAAATCCATTTTGCCACAGCGGAATTTTAGGGATAAAAGTGCATAAATCAGTGATGTTAAAGGTGAGTTCTTGCCCAGCTTTGGCAGCATCTGGCTCCAGGTGCTCCCGGTGTTCAGGATCTCCAGAACCATCTCACACCAGGCACAGCCAGCAAGGCACCAGTGTCCCTTGGCAAGATGAAAATGAGCCAAAAACCTGCTGGTTTGGGCTTCAGAGTGAAATGTGAGCTCCTGCTGGGAGAACTCGGAGTGAAATCCTCCTGCTGGGCAGACAAGGAATCACCCAGGAACTTCTCCAGGTTCCTGGTTGTGGGCTGATGCCCCTCAGAGTACTGGATCCTCCTCTTGAGGTGTCTGCTGGTCTGGTCACCATCATCATCATCACCACCACCAGCCCCAGCTCTCCTGACATTCCATTCTCTCTCTGTTCTTGGCAGTTGACAGAGGTGCCAGCAGCAGCTGGGGCGTGCCAGATGTCCTTTAGTAAGTCCCACAAATTTGGGGTGGGAGAGGGGATTCCACCACTCTCAATCTCCGTCAGGGCTTCTCTGGTGCTGGGCTTGGGTCTTCCAGAGCCAAAACCCACCTGAGGTGTCTCCAAAAGGGCTGAAAAGTCCTGAGATGGGCGGAAAACATCCTCCAAAAGCCTGGAAACACCCCAGTAATACAGAGAATAAATGATGGAATAGGAATAAACCCCACCTTTCAGTCATTTCACCCAGAGCTGTGGCATTTAGGGCTCTGTTTGCTGCCCAGACAGTATTTTGCTGAATGGTTTGTTTCTTGTTCTGCTCATGAAACTGTTGATAATTGTTGATTTGTAGCATTATGGGGGAAAGGAGAATAAAAGGTGTGAGTGATATAGAAGGCAAAAACTGGTCTCTGAGAGCCCACTTGATGTTTTAAATTGGTAAAAAAACATAATTCTTGGACCATAAGTGTGTGTCCATCATCAGTTGTAGCATTTATTAACATTAATTTGTCAATTAGGTGTTGGCACTGTCTCCTTAAACCTTTTTCTGTTTTTTGCAGCAATCCACAGGCCTTGAACAATTTTGTGCCTGGATCCAGCATGGTGAGCAACAACTCAGCTCCCTCCCAAAACCTACACAACTTCCACAACACAAACAATTTCTTTAAAGAAAAACTGGATTTCTATATCAAACCTCCCCAAAGGTCAGGATCTTTTTAGGTCTGAGTTCCTGCTGCTGCTCATGCAGTACAGCCAGGAGGGATTCTGGGGTGTTTTGAGCCAAAACTGGGAACAGGCAGAGCTGATGTCCAACAGCTGGGGAGAGTTTGGAGCTTTCTGGGGCTGCCCCTCACTGCTGCACCCTCTTTTTATTCCCAATTTTTTAAAATTCTGCACCAAATAAATATTGGGAATTTCAGATTGACCATGCTGCTTTCTCAGCACAGAGGATGCAGCTGATGCCTCGGGATTTTGGCTTTTCTATTTGTCACACATCTGTACTCCTGCCATTCCTCAGTGTGTGACTCCAAACTCCACACACACTGGGAGCTGCTGCTTCCCCACTTTGGGCACACACAACAATTCCTCTCCAGGCCTGGCAATCAAGGACACCTCACTGCCTCAGGCCCCCAGAGATGGAAACAAAAGGGAGTTGGGGGCAGCAAACCTGGGGGAAATTCCTTCATTCCCTGAAGCTGGAATTGGGAGATGAACCCCAATGTGCAAATGGACCAAACTTAGAAAAGTGTGAAACCTGTGAGCCATGGTCCATTTTGGGTGCAGCCCCTGGAGGGCTTTGTCTGCCCTAAATGCACCTGGAGGCCCTTCAATAAATAGAACTGCTTTTTATTCCCTTAATTTTGTCTGGCCTCTGTGTTTAGGTAAACCCAAAAGGCATCACACCAGTGCCTTTGTTTGAAGGCCCTGGCCAAGGCCTTTTCTACACCCCTCCTTGGAGAGCCTTTCATTGCCACCATCCTCATCTCCCCAGCTGTGTTTTCCATCCCTTTCCCAGGTGTGGGAGCCCTCAGTGAGGGTGGTGCAGCCGGTGCTGGCGGTGCCCGAGGCCGGGGGCTGCCGGTGGGGCGGCGGGGACCTCCTGCAGCAGTGCCTGTGGGCAGCGGGCATCACCGAGCAGCTGCTGGAGGCCGAGGCCAAGCGGGACCAGCTCCCCGTGGCTTCCCACAGCGTCCCACGGATCCTCCCCGGAGCTGGGGCCCAGCAGCCGCTCCTCCAGCCCTTGGTGCAGCACCTCGGGCCCTTCCCCGGCCTCCAGCCGGCCATGGGACACCTGGGGGGACAGCAGGTGGTGGCCACCGCCCTGCCATCACACCAGGTCGTGTTCCTGCCGCAGGCAAGTGCAGCCCCTCATTGCTTCCATCCTCTCCAAACACGCTGCTGTACTTCTGTGAAGGGTTTTAGCTCTATATTTTTTACTTTAAATTCCTATGGATTTCAATTTTGCTAATTCTTTTCGTTTTTGGTTCTATTACTTTAGTCCTGTTTCTTTAGTTCTTTCATCTGGGAAAGGGGAAGAGGAATAAGGGAAAAGATCCCAATACTTGAGCTTTTATTTGGCTCAATCTTCACCTCCCTCTGTAGACACCTCATTTGTGGGTTCAGGGCACACAGCCCCATTTCTGGGGTTCAGACCCTGAGAGGGGCACGTCTGCAGCACCTTTTTCAAACCCTGGAGTCCTTAATTTAGGAAAACCCTTGAAGATCCTCAAATCTGACCCTTTTTGTCCTTCCTCGTACCCTCCGGTGGCAGGGCCAGGGAGTCCCTTCCTCCTCACACATCCACCCCAACCTCAGGCAGTTTGTGGGTTAAAAAGCACCAGATTTAGGGCGTGTTCTCATTTCCTGCCTTGTTTTTCAGCCTCTCCAGGTGCCGCAGAGGATCATCCTGCAGGTGAAGCAGCCAGGCCCTACCACACTCACCCTGCTCCCCAGCCCAGCCTCCTGTGTCCTGGGGAGTGGCCAGGGGCCAAGGCCACCAGCCCACAAACCCCACTGCCACCCCCATTCTGCCACCCCATCACACCCTGGAGCAGCAGCACTCGTGCACAGCAGCATCCCCACGCCCCACGCTGTGGGAATTGAGCTGCGGCACGGTGAAAACTTCAGGGACCCAAAATGTGGGAAAATGGATTATTTTGTTTATTTTTAATAAAAATTCTTGATGGAAAGTGTCCTAAGAATCCAAAGTGAGATTGTTTTGTGTTAAGGCTTGAGTTTAAACACATCCCTGGTCTTGTTTCATGTTTGCAAGACATCATCACCCTGTTCCCTGTGCAGAGAAAAACCTTCTCCAGCATTTCCATCCCCATTTCTGCCGGGAAGTTGGGGGGTCCTTGTGCCATCCAGCAGCTCCTTCAGGTGAGGAGCTGGTTTTCCTGGCAGCACTCTTTGTTTCCAACTTTTTCCACTTTGTTCCCAAGGCTTTCTACTTTATTTTCCCTATAAAGTTTATTGACCAGTTTTCTCCTCCTTCACAGTTTTGTTCTTCATTTTCTACTTTTTTCCCCTCTAATTCCCAATTCCCCCTTTATTTCCAAATTTTACACCTTCTTTCCTAGTTTTACCCTTTATTTTCTAGTGTTCCACTTCCTTAGCTTTCCCCTTTTTATTTCCAAATCCTCCACTTTATTTCCAAGATTTTCCACTTTTTATTTCCAAGGTTCCTTTTATTTCATTTCTTTTTTCTCCTTCAAGTTTTTTCCCCCTTCATTTCCACATTTCTCCGCTTTGCCTCTTAACTTTTCTCCTCCCTTTCCAAGATTTTCCTCCTCATTTCCCAATTCCCCCCTTGATTTTGAAGGTTTTTTTCCCCCATGAAAGCCCAGGAGAAACGCTGGGAATTCTTTTTTGTGCTACGGGTGACAGAGCAGAGGAGAGAGAATTCAAAGTGAGAGATAAGGGTAAAGGATAAAGAAAGATGCAAGCTGCAGGGTCCAGAAGAAGACCTGGATCAAAAGTGGTAAGAGGCACAGAGAGACAGCAGAAAAACCGAGAATCTCCGGGATAGACAGGGAAGACATTCCCGGGGCTCGGTCAGACCATTCCCGGGGCTCGGCTGGACCATCCCGGGGCTCGGTCAGACATTCCCGGGGCTCGGTCAGACATTCCCGGGGCTCGGTCAGACCATCCCGGGGCTCGGTCAGACCATCCCGGGGCTCGGTCAGACCATTCCCGGGGCTCGGTCAGACATCCCGGGGCTCGGTCAGACATTCCCGGGGCTCGGCTGGACCATCCCGGGGCTCGGTCAGACATTCCCGGGGCTCGGTCAGACATTCCCGGGGCTCGGTCAGACCATCCCGGGGCTCGGTCAGACATCCCCGGGGCTCGGTCAGACATTCCCCGGGCTCGGCTGGACCATTCCCGGGG